AAATCTGTGAGTTCCTAGATGGAGAAGCATCCAAAGCAAACCACAATAGATTTTATGTACGGAAGAAATGGACTTCTATTGTGTGAAGCCATCATGATTGGAAAGCTTATTTGTTACTGCAGCACAACCCAGCTCAACCTGACTGATACAAAAGTGACTCCTTTTTGGTGACCAATTATCATGGGAGGTATAAAAATCTCATTATTTTGAGTGCCAAGGAGGCTAGGTGATGTCATTTACCATCATCAAAATGAAAATTCAGTGGCATGGCCTCTGTCTGTAATTGTGTTTAGGCAAATCTAGCATTGTCTTATTATTTTCAAAGGGGGGGAGAGAAAAAGGGAAATAATCTTTTTCTTTTCTTAAAACAAAATGAGATTTTGCTTAAGCTGAATAAATAAATCCTCTTCTCCAACTCAGAAAGATAGAGGAAAAATAGTCTGCACAAGAGGCGGGTATTCACTCGGGAGCACATATTTTAAATAAGGTTCCCACAAAAGCATCTGCAAACATCAGAATCTAAAAGAAAGAATCACAACTAATGAGATGTGGCCTGATTAGAGAAAATCCTTTTTAAATCACTGTGGGTTTTCACTTTTGCCCCGGAAGACTAGGCTTTGTCTGAATCTTATTAAGAAGAGAGCGATGCCGAGATAACGAGGACTGATAGGGAATAAACACGACTTGGCCTGATTCAGCTGCAAAAATCACATGTTTTGAAAGATTATTATGAGTGACTTTCAAATTTGTGTAATTCTTTTATAAACTAAGTTTTTGTTGGACTATGAAAATGTTTTTCAATTTCCCTAGATGGAAAATGGCAAAAGAGGTTAATTAAGTGTCAACCAGAGATACTTAAGCACTTATGCCTGTAATTTCTCCAGCTTCAAACTTAAATAGCTTAAACTGTAAAATAGCTGACAATTATGATTCATGCCTTTACCCTTTCAACATTGTGGGGTTCTTTTTTCTTTTGTTTCCTTGAAAATTCTATCCTAAAAGATTGCAGAATCCTAGGTGTTTACAACCATGCCCCATGTGAATGAACAAATGTGGCTACGTTTGCAAGCAGAGAGGGTCTATTCCCATCCCTAGAACACTAATTGCAGGTTCAACAGCCTGGCCCTGGCTCTAGACCTCCCATCCCACCACCTCCCCTCTCTGTTGGATTATCCAGCTGTTATCCCTCTATCAGGACCCTACTCATTCTGCACAATCCAGTTCAAACCGTTCTTGACATGGGCTGCCTTTCTGATTGCGATGGTCTCTCCATTTTTTATTTTCTATTATATTCTTTAGGTAACCCTCTCAGTTTGCATTTTTTTATTGTATTGTTCATCATCTAGTCTACCCAGTACCTAGCTTAGGACTGGTAGCAGAAGGTCCCTTCAAGGACCTGCCTACATTCAAGGCAGTAGGTCCCATGCCCTGCCTACATTCAAGGTCTATGTTCAACTCTGTCTCCATTGGGAGTTACTCTTTCTATGAAGAGGATCTGCTCCAGCCCAGTAACAAGATCAGTATACCAAGCCCAAGGTCAGCTGAAGGCCCTTGGAATGGAGAGAGACAGAGAACCCAAGAACTTCAATGACAGAGAGAGACCTCTAGCCGGGGTTTACAAGTGAGCAGGAGACATTTTAAGAGTGTACTGTAGAAAAACAAAATCTTTATTAAAATGTGAAGGGAACTTTGAGCATGTATTGAAGAAAGTTTAAGGATTTTCTGCAGTTACTAAGACTATAAGAAATTCTATTCATTGTGGACAAGCTGTTCATGTGACACAGCAGGGAAGCTTGGCTTTGCTGCCAAAACATCTTTCAGAATTTGAAAACTTGGAGGCCTAATGTTCTCTCCAGGCTCTGAGTCATTTTACATAATCCCCTCCTCCTGGAACCACCCTTCCCTTCGCCAGGACAACTTAATCTTTACCAGGAGAACTTCACACATCTTAAATATCACCTCTTCTTGTGAGAAGCAGAGCGTGATCTTTTCCCATCTTCTCCACTGTAAGCTAAGTTTCTTCCATCATATGCATCCTGTACTTCCTGCACCTAGTCTAACACCTCCCTTCAATGCCTTACTTAATTATCCCCTTTCACTGATAGGGGTGGGCTCTCTGAAGACAGGAACCAAGCCTCATTCCTATTTGCCCAGCACAGTGTGCCTCAACACAGCAGGCACTCCAAAAATATTTGTTCAAAAAAGACAAAAAGTCCCAAAACGTAGGCAATGAAGAGGAAAAATCCAGGCAAGCCAGAGTTTCCTCTTGCAGTTACTCCTGGCCAAAATGGTTCACATTATGAAGAGAATGACATTTACACAAGAAAGCTACTGTGCAGTATTTATAGTACAATGCATTCATTTACAAAATAGTAGAGTTCTCATTTGTAATTTAATTATAGTCATTTTTCACCAACATGGGATGTTATCTTAAAGTATTTTTATTCAAGAATCCAAGCAAAGAGATGTATAGAGAGATGTTTAGATTCTGTGGGTCACACCTGATCATTGATGTCAAATTTGTCTCCAGAATGGAGGCTGCTACTGAAGTGTTCACCTTTGCTAAGGCAGCCATGATTAAAACTTGCTAATATTATTAACACAAACTTATGGTTGTTGAGTACTTATTTTGTGCCAGGAACTGGACTAAATAATTTACATTAATTATCAGAGATCACAACCTCTTTATGTGGTCAGCATTATTATTATCCTAATTCATTAATTTATATACAAGACATTTATTGGGTTTCTGCCACATAAAAGATATTGAAATAGGTATTAGGAATCCAATAGGGAATACAATAAGTATAAATTTTTCCTCCTGAAAATAAGAGGTGTGAGACGAAAATCAATTATGCTAGATTTTAAGAGCTAAGAGAAGGATAATAGGGAAAGGAAAAGGAGGCACTGGGTGTGCAATTCTGCATACAGAGCTTAGGAAAGATGTCACTGACAAGGGACATGTGAGCAGAGATGTGAAGGAGGTAAGAGAGCCCTTCAGTTATCGGGGGAAGAAAATTTATAGGCAAAGGACTGTCACACGTGAAGTCCTGAGGTAAGGACAGGTTTCAGTATTTGGGGATCAGCAGTGAAGTCCATGTGGTTAGAATAAAAGAAATGAGTGAACAAGAGGGAAAAACTGTGGAGAAGGGGCCAAGTAACATGGGGTCTTATAGGTTATTTTGAGAATTATGTCTTTATTTTTAAATTTTTGTTGAAATATATATCTCATTGTATAAATTTAAGGTATGCAACATTTATAGATTATAATATAATTGCCATTGTACACTTCTTTTATGCTACCTAATCATTTTTTGTATGTGTGGTTGGAATAATAAGATCTAGTCTCTTAGCAAGTTTGATGATATAATACAATGCTGGGGTCCAATCCCAGCGGGTTCAGGGGTAAATCTCCAGAATTTATTTACTATTAGTTGGAAGTTTATGCCTTTAAACCACATCTGTCCTGTTCCACCACTCCCTTAGTCTCTATAACCAGCATTCTATTCTGTTTTTATGAGTTTGGCCTTTTAGATTCCACACATAAGTGATATCATACAGCCTTTGTCTTTCTAAAGGGTACTCCAACTGCTGTGTGAAAAGTTTGAATAGGTCAAGGGTAGATATATAAAGTCCAAATAGGAGGCTATTGCAATAATCTATATAAGAGGACATGACTAGTGGCTTGAAATGATGTTGTCCTGGTGCAGCAGATGAGAACTGGTAAGGTACTGTATGCATTTTTAGGTGGAACCCACAGGATTTGCTGATGCATTAGTGTGGGCTATGAGAGAAATCAAGGATGACTCTAGCATATTTGCTCTTGGCAACTATAGATATAGAGTAATTATTGAGATGAGAAAGATAGGAAAAGGGATAGGCTTAGGAAAAAGATCAGAGTATGGACTTGAACACTTAAGCCTTAAATTCCTATTGAATAGCCAATGGGGATGTTGAGTAGGGATTAGGCACATGTGTCTGAGGTCAGAAGACTGCTGGTGGCTGGAATCACAAATGTGAGTCTTCAACATTGAAGTGACATTAATACTCAATACACTCAGTGGGCTTATGCAGGAAATGAATATAGATAGCAGTGATTCAAGACCTCAGACCTGGAGCAGCATGGCATTTAGGTACTGTGTCCATTCACAGAAGTAGATACTCAGAACCCATAGGAGGCTTTGAAAGATAAAGAGAGAGGAAGCAGGATTGGGCAAGGAAAGCCTTCCGACCACAAAACAGATCTAGAATCTCCTAAAGGGAATAGCCAGGAGGAAGCAGGACTGGGTAGCATGAGACTGACATGATGCAACTTAGACAGTTGTGGTCAGTCTAAGGTGAAGATCCAAAGCCACTGTGGTTGTTAACTTTCGCAATTTAAAGTGCGACAGCAAAATTAGCACAGATTTGTTTTTCCTTCTGCATGATGTTATGGATAGAAGATTTGTTGTTACCATAGATCCGAGAGAGCTCAGCATGTGGCTTTGTGTTTCCTTATTAAGTGGAGAACTTTATTCTTTTTTTGAAAGGAAGCATGTTAAGCTTCTCTTTGGCAAATCCAAATAGTGGGCATCAGGACTCTTCCACTTTTGGGGCAATTATGAGGTAAAATCAACAAGGACATCATATCAACAAGGACAGTTGATATGATAACAAAGCAGGCTACTAAGTGAATGATGGATAGGGGTGTGACAGCATGGAGATTCAGTGAGGGATGATTCACATCCAGGGCAAGAGTGCTGGAGATTTTATCACACCACTTAGAGCAGCAATTTAAAACGTATGAACTGTTTATTTCTAGAATTTTTTGTTTATATGTACCAACTCCAGTTGACTGTGGGTAACTAAAACCAAGGCAAGTGAAACCACAGGTAAGGGGACTACTGTAGTGAGGAATGAGGAGTAGAGAATGATGGGAACCTCCGAATTAGACGTGGATTTAGATTTGGCCCTACTGCAGCCTAGCTATGTGACCTTGGGCAAGTGATATAAACTTGCCAAGCTCTGCTGTCCTCAGCTGAGAATGGGGACAATAATTACTCATCCTCTTGCAGCTGCTGTGAGCATCAGTAACAGAACACACACAAAGTTTTTCTCGGTGGAAACTGGGTAAGTGCTCATTTTTCTGTATCCTCTCAGAAGATTGGAACAGCTCAGTGAATGTGACTTGCTGTTTTAGCTAAATTAAATTAAATTTTAAACCCTCTCTTATAGTCCTTAATTTTATTTCTTTTCCTTCCAAAAGCATCCAGGGTGAGGCCCAGCTGGCATCCTGACGGAAATCCCCAGTCTCTCTGGCAGAGACAGAATTCCTGCGACAGATCAGGGCTGCGTGGAAGGTTTCATTTTTACAGCCCGGTGAGCCGCACATTTTGCTCCTCTTGTTTGCTTTTATCTTGAGGTCGAAGAAATGATGCAATACATTATCACAAGTGGCTGCCCTTCACTCCCTGAACATCTGTGTTCGCAGCACCTGTCCGCTGAGACGGGAGGCTGCGTCTTGCTATCTGCTCTCTTACCTGCCGGCTCCTTTGAAACATGCTGCTCTTATTTGGACTACTTCTGCCAAATAGCGACAAGTTAAGGGGAATTTAGGGGAAAAAAATCTTTTTTTTTTCCATCTGGAAAGAACTCTGAGATGTTTATTAACCACCTTCTCTTTTTCTAATTTTCTTTATTTTGATTTTTTAAAAACTTTTTAATTGAATTTATTGGGGTGACATTAGTTAATACAATTTATATATATTTCAGGTGTACAGTTCTATAGTATATCATCTGTATATTGTATGGTGTGATCACCACCCCAAGTCAAGTCTCCCTCCTTCCATCACCATTTATCCCCCCTGTTCTCCTATGACCTCTTCTATCTGTCCTATCCCCTTCCCTGAGATTTGGGGGTTCATTTGTTACAACTGCATAGTCTAGACACTAACTCAGCTAATTATTTGAATTAGACTTTCTACACTGCCTTAGAAATATAAAATGCATATATTTTCGTAAACATTTTGTAAGGCTAGCATCATGGTAAGTTATAAAAATTCTCCTTCCACCCTTTCCTTTGTACATTTCCCTCACTCCTTCTCTATTTCAATTGGTTTGACAGTTTGTTGTTCTCACTGTTGAGTCAGTCACTGGGCCAAGATACAGATGCTAATTAACTTGTGCTAAGGTGTCAGCTTACCAGTGTGTGTCCCACCCTAAAGTACTGGCTTCAGGCAAAGCATAAAGACCCTTAGGTCAATTCCCTCTGCAGGAACCCAGAGCCCTTGTGAGCTGTGGAGTATCACTCACTGCCTCAGCCCCACTCAACTGAGATGTCTCCTGAGTGAAGACTGTGGAATGCAGATTCAGCCCCAGGATATACTACTGCAAGGAGGGGTGCCCATGTATGACATCTTAGAGACAGTAGGTGACAGGATGTTGTACTCACGCCTGTTCCCTATATGTCCCTGCCCCACCCTGTTCCACATACCTGCATTGCACTGAAATTCCCTTAAGCTAATTAAAGTGTCATAAGAATCTCTATTGATAGTTAGATGCCAATGCTGCGTAGTTACTCCACTGGTATTTTTTTTTAATCCACAGTTTGCATATATATGTGTGTGTATATATGTATATATATGCAAATATTTTTATGATAAGTTTCTTTGTCATGAAAGATTAAAACACCTCATTGATTTTGCAAAACAAAACAAAAACAGCATGCAGTTGTCTGTGTCTATGCGTTTATTAGTATTATTATTATTAGTTTTTTATTAATCCCTTTATATCAAACTAAAAAGGTTTTGCACAGCAAAGGAAACCATCAACAAAATAAAAAGGGAGCCTACTGAATGGGAGAACATATTTGCCAATGATACATTTGATAAAGGGCTAATATCCAAAATTTATAAAGAACTTATAGGACTCAACACCAAAAACTCCCACAAATAATCCAATTAAAAATGGGCAAAAGACTGCCCTAGCCTGTGGGTCAGTTAGTTGTTGTTAGAACATCACCCAGGGGAAAATTTTGACATTTTTGCCCTAACATCAAGTCCTATGGCTTTTACACATTTTTGTTTTGTGTCAATTAGGCATCTAATCTCCTTCTGTTGTCTGCTTTTTAATCCTCTAACCTGTTCACATTGTAGTCAACTGAGTTTTTCCAAAAACTAATCTGAGAGAACCCTGGAACTTGGGGTTGAGGCTGAAGCAGCCCCACGGTACATCAGAGACAGAAAGGTTGGGCACAAGATAAGGAAACAATTTTCAAGAGAAGTTTAATAAAAGAAAAAATAGTCCATTGAACTATAGTCAGTGGTAGAGTGCAGGCCACAGATGACAGTCACATAAGCAGCAGCATCTTCACCCCTTTAAGACTTCCCTGCAGACGGGCACAGGAAGGCACCTGTCCTAAGAGCCACAGGAGTGCTGCCTGCCTGGCCAGGTCTCCCTGTCTGGTGAGATGAGCATGAGGATATTGTTCCACAGAAGTCACAGGTCATGGTCAGCCTGCTTTGGGCAAGTGTATCCACAGCCTCTCTGCCACCTTTTCATAAAGCCTACAGTTGTACATGAATGACATTTTGTTGCTCTTAATACCAATAAAAAGGAATTCTCTTTAAAAAGAAAAAGAAAAACAATACTGTAAGTAAGAACTTCATGATCCATATTGAAGCAACCATGTAACACTGGAACAGAAACTCAGTGAAATTCAAGATGAGCATCCCAGTGGATTCCAAGCACACCTCCCACAGGTAGTCCACACACAATGTGGGGGAAGGGGCAAGACTGGAGATGCTTCACTTCAAAAGAATGATGTTTAAATCACTGAAAACAAATGTCCAAACTCACTCAGAAAGCTCACTGACACAGAAAATGAAACTTAGTTGAATTACATGTTGGTAAAACAAAAATCAAATTTACTAATCACTGTAGGAAATTGATCTGATGCACCAGAGTTAATGCTGTTTTCTTTATTATCACAAGGTAAACAGGCACATAAAATAAATTAAACAAGAAATTACCTAGAATTAAAACAAGGATTTGGTGGATGTGATATATACTTTAGAAAGCATTAACACTACAGGTTCCCCCACTTGTCCCATCCTTCAAGTTAAATGGTTCCTCAGGAAGAAGCGACAACTTTATCCTTGACAACTTTAGCCTCATATACCATGTTCCTGATTTTCCTACCTCAACACACAGCCACTGTGCCTCTTGGTGTACTCGAGTTTGAGATGCTCCTCTTAATCTGATCTCCGATTACTGACTTTATTCATTGCCTGCGGGCACTGATTCTGTGAGTACTTATGTTATTTTTTCAAAAATCTCTAGCTGGGTCTCAAGGTGTCATATTGGCTCCAGAATAAAGATTACTTTAAGACCAGAGAAAGGTTCTTTTTTCTTTATTAAATTATTTAAGAGATCTATTCTATTGGAAAATAAAATTCTTACTGAATTAAGTAGCTTGCTGATCTACAGTATTTTTCACATGTATCTAGATCACAGATACTATGTTTCTCAATCCCCTTGAATAGTATATATTGCAATCATCATCTCAGGTAAGGAAAATGAAAGTTAAATTTGCTTAAAATGCAAATTCTCACTTATTCAGCCATTCATCAGGCATGTAATGACTAGCTATTGATCAGCTAATGGATGCCAGGCACGATACTGCATAATGGCTGTGTATAAAATTCTGGATTGGAAATTATTTTCCCCTCATAACTTTGAAGTCCTTTCTCTATTGTTTTCTGGGCATCCAGTGTTCCTGATGTTTCTGGAGATGCCCTGGCCTTTATTCCTTTGTAGATAACCTATTTTTGTTTCTAAAAGATTATAGCCCCTTTGTTTAGTCATTAGTGTTCTGAAATTTCTTTTTTCTTAAAATTGTATTTTATTGGGATAAGAAGACTTAACAGGATTGATAGTTCTCTGGGATACTTTTTGATATCATATAAATAAAACTGCTGTGAGCATTGACTTAAGGTTTTTGTGTAAATTTCTCTTGAATAAATAAGGAGGAGTAAGATCCTTGGGTCACCAGGCAATTGCATGTTAGACTTTATATGATATTGCCAACTAGTTTTCCAAAGTGAATGTACCTTTTTTTTCCCCACCAGCCATTAGTATTTTCATTTTTATTCATTTATCATCAAGTGTATGTGTAGTTATATCTCATGATTTGGAGCCTTCCCTTTGAGGATTCACATTTCCTTCAGTTCAGGAAACTTGCATTATTTCCCTGGCAACTCTTCTTCAGGATTCCTTTTAGTCCAAAGCTGGGCCCACTAGATGGTCTCTCATCATTTCTCTCAAATTTTTCTTTATCTTTTTAGCTCTGGTCTCTGTGCCATTTATTTAACTGTCTCTACAACCCATGTAGACTTTTTTCCATTCATTGCATCGGCCATTTTTTTCCTGAACTCTCAAGAACGCTTTCTTAGTATCTTCTGGTTTCTTTTTCATGGCAACTGATTCTTGTTTCTTGAAAGCAGTGTGTCCTTAGATTTCTGTCAGAATGCTAATTAGCATCTGTTTCTTGCCTAGAACAATCTATTTCTCCTAGGGTCTGTTTTTCACAATTAGTTCATCTTGGTCTTTCCCCATCATGGTTTCTTCACATTTCAGTTTTGTTTTGTTTTTTCTGTGCTGTGTAGTCACATTTAGGAATTAGGCAAAATAATGTTTTCTGGAAGTTCTGTGAGCAAGTGGGTAAGGCGTGTTGACCCAGTCTTTCCTTCACATTGCCACCTTTCTCCTCACTGTGGCATGTGAAACAGAGCCAGCACTCTGGCTTGGGTTTCCTACTGTCCAGCTATAGAAGGAAAATGATGCATTTAATATTTATTAAGAGTTAATGATGTGCATAACCACTTTCTAATTATAATAAAAAATTAACACTTATTCAGTGCTTATACTCTGCCTGGCCCTCTTAGAACTTTTTATGTCTTCATTTAATTCCTTGACAACTCTGTCAGGGAAGCCTATTGCGGTCACCTCGGTTCAAAAATGGAAAGATTGAGGAACAGAGAGGTTAACTAATTTGCCTAAGTTTGCACAGCTAAGAAGTGACAAAGCTGGGTTTAAAACACAGCAGTTTGTGTTCAGAGTCTTTGATCCTGAACAGTATGCTCTTGACTCTCAGACATGGACTTTCTCCCCAAATCCTTCCAGCAAATCTCTGAGCTGGACATTGTCAGTGCCACTTTACAAAAGAGAATTTCGGGACCCAGACAAGTTCAATGACAAATATTCCACAGAGCTCATGAGTGGAAACTGTCTGACTTCAAAACTAATAGCATATTGTACCAGATTTGTCCAAAGAATAATAATTGTAGACATTTACAAATAAAGACTTCTTGATAACAAAATCGATGTTTATTTGAAGCAGGGTAACCTTTGAACCCAATATTTTGGTTTCAATGGTAGAAACAAACAACTCCATTACTAATGATCTGCACAGACTGTCACTTTTACTTTAGAACCAGCAATTAAGATCCAAAATATCAATTATGTTGTTTCTCAATAACACAACGGATCAATAACCTTCATTTTGTGTTCTTCTTAATTACTGCGTGGGGGTTTCTGCAGAAACATTCTGAACCAGATCTTGCATATTAATCTCAGCACATGGTTCTCATGCCTCACAATGGAGCAATCAGACCTTGATTAATGTTAGCATTAAACTAACTGCTATCTAATCAGTTGACAAAATGCTGGTTTTGACTCTAGTTTCCGTGGTCTGTTTGTTTCCGATGCTTCTGATTGATGTTTGCTGTGGGGAAGAATAAAGAAATAAGACATACATTATTCATGGAAGTGACTGGAAGGATTTTTGTGATATTCCCTCTGCTCTGACAGAATGACAGAGCAGTAACTCCAGGCCTAAGTGGAAACCACCACTCTCCCCATCCTGATATTTTTTGAGGAAAAGAGAATTTAAACCAATCATCCCATAAGTAAAATGTCCTTCAAAAATTTCACATCATAGAAAATGATATCATCAGCCACCAAATTGCCCCTGAAAACACACACACACACACACACACATACACACACACACACACACAGAGAAAGTATACCAGATTCCTTCAGATCCTTGGATCATGCTTTCTCCTTTAGGTGCCTCCTATCATTTTCCTCATCTATTTCCTCTGCCTGGAATGTTCTGCCTCCACTGGTTTGCCTGGAAATTTTTATTTTTCTTCAAGTCTGAGCTCAGAACTACTTTCAGGGATGTCTTTCTGATCCTCTAGACAAGACCACCACTGTCCCATAGGACACTGTGCTCTGAAGGAAATGCTTCATAATCTGTACTGTCCAGTCCAGTAGACATGAGCTACATGTGACTGCCAAGCACTTGCAAAGTGACTAGTGCAATTGAGGGGCTGAGTTCTTGATTTTATTTATAAAATAATTTTAATGATTTATGTAGCCACACATGAGTAGTGATCATTGCAGCAGAAGAATGACTCTAGATAGGCCTATTGTGAGACCTACTTTTGTTACAGCCTTTAAAAAAATGGCATCATGATTCATTTATATGGACATTCATCCTGCTCGTCTACCAGCACATGGAGAAC